GAACCAATTTATATAAAAAATGCCAAATAAATATTTACAATGTTTAGAGAAGTTAACCAAAAAGTGCAAAGGCCATAAAATTTCAAATATTCACCAGAGAGACACCCTTAGACCTTTTCACATCATACTGGACATATTAGCATATAAAACCTTAACAATAGCAAAATTTACGAATCTAACTATCATTGATCAGGGATAACCAAAAAATTGGATAAAATTCAAAATTTTCGAACAAAAACTTCAACAAAAATGGCTACACACTTTTCCAATATACTACCCCCTACACCTAAATCTTATATTGTCCCCAATGTAAGAAATAAAGAATAAAATATGAAGCAAAAGAGACAACGAAACTTCCCTGAACATTGAGGAGAATGTTGCACTACTAAGGATGTGGAGCAAAAATGAGGATAAAATCAATAAAATGAAAGTAGTCACCAAATTCTTCAGTCATTTTAGACGTGGACATGCCTAAAATATAAGGAGTCTTCTGGTCGAAAATTTTCAACTTGCCAATTCAACGTGACTTATAGACGTGGGCACGTCTTATCGACTAGTAGTGTTTTGAAATTTCTGAACATATCTTTAGAACCAATCAGCTAATTAGGTGCGGGCGCGGCTTGTCTGGTAGTAGTCTTCTGTCCACGAAAAAAACAAAATAAGAGTTGGGAGAATGTTGACCATGGAATGGAGGAGATGTCACCACATTTGATAATTGTTCACTGGATTCGTTCACTTGAGCGATTTGAGGTTGAGGTTTCAGTTCTTCCTTTTCAGTTTCTTTTTCAACTGCATCTGTAGATCTTTCTTCTTGAGAATCTTGTAGGTCCTTGATATTTGTCAGGGTAATTGCACTCTCATCTTTCTTAAGATCGATAATAGTCTATGAGGGCAATTCTTCACAAATTGGAGAAAGTAATTGGCTCATTATAGATGCAAATAAATGCATTTGATCCTTCATCCTTCTAATTCTCATTTGTGTCTCTTGTTGAAATTGATATGCGTTAGTAATTATTAATTCCATCATTTTTTCAAAAGACATGTCTGACATTGATGATGCTTATTGCTATTGATATTGATATTGAGAACATGTTGGCCTTGCTGCATAATTAAAGTTAAAGTTGTCCCACTATTCTTGATCATACACGTTTGAATAAGCGTCATCCCATATTTGATACAGGATTGGAAAACTCCAAAAGTATTAATTGGGGCACTCAGGTCATCTTGAAATATGGGACACATGTTGATTGAATGATCCAAAACATAACAAATTTCACAAATTGCAACAGCTAATTTTTCTACATGAGATGCATCTAAATGTTGATCATTAGAAAAAACACGAACCCCATTACCCTTTCTAGAAATAAAATCCAATCTATCACCAAAATATTGAATGTTAGCAACCATAAACTAGAAAAAAAAATGAAAAATAAAAATAAAAATAAGATTAACTCAAAAAAAAATTTAATCAGACACCAGTTTTCGATAACGGCGCCAAAACTTGACAAGTGTCAAACCTGTGTAATAATAAAAACTTACTCAAATAAAATACAAATTTTTGTATATAACGGTGAGTAGGGTTGAATCCACAAGGAATGAAAAAAAAATATCTTTTTTTAGAGCCTAAAGCAAGGGAATTTTTAGACAATTTAGAAATAACTCACTAACCAATTAAAGAAACAATTAAAAAAATAAATAAGAATTAAATCAACAATAAATATGACTCTAGCCAAATGTACAATTTTTTAGATATGATCCACATAACTGATCATTGATGAAAGGATGATTCAATCATTTATTAATAGATTGGTTATAACCATCAACAAATTCTGACAGCTAACTTTTCCTTAGTTTATCGATAGTCAATGTATAACCGTTAACTATTTCCCTAATCAAGAAATAACTCTAAGTACGACCATAAGATTTAATTTCCTAATTGCATTAAGAATTAGAAAAACTCAATCCTAACTAACAAAAACGCTACGAGGGTTCATTTAAGTTAAATCATATGTTTCCCTAACATGAGACCAATCACGCTAGTAGCCATTAGTATTACAGATTTAATTGATTAATATGGTAATAGATTATTAGATTAATTCAAATATCGGACTTTTGACATTCAAATAACAAAATAATCATAAGAAATTATAGCAAAAGACGTACAAATACCAATTAATAAAAGAAATAAATAAAAATGATTCAATTTCACAGATGTTTGGAACCGTGTCTTCAAATTGACCCTTGACTAGAAAAAGAGATTAATTGTTTTCCATTGAAAATAACTCAAGCAATTTCATTGATGAAAGTTGCCTGAGGTTCAACAACAGAAAGAGCAAAAGAAAAAAAAACGAAGAGAAAAACTCTTTGTTCTTCCTTGGTGCCGAGACTAATCACCCCTTTCGCTAAAACAACGATGACTCTTTAAAGCCAACACAAACAAGAAGACTTCCTTGTTCTCACGTCTCTTACTTTCCTAAACTACTAATATTTCCTAATTTTCTCCAAATAAAAGGAGATTCCCTAAATTGACAAAAGATAACCTATTTGTTTCTTAATACAAAACGAAAGACCAATTATCTCAGATAAGGAAACATGCTTCTAAGAACTTCGACTCGAACTGGGATACTACCACGCGTATTAAAATCTCGATCGTCCGAGAATTGACAGTAGGATTTGATCGCACCCACAAAGAACTGTAAGAATTTTCATTAAACCACTTTTTACTTCTTTTCTCGTAATATTCCTACAATTAGTACCAATTACCAAATATGAGTAGAATTTACCCATTAATACAATATTTGGCTAAAATCAAGGGAGAAATAATCATAAATTTAATAACAAAATTGCAACCTATCAGCAACCAAACATAAATCCAACAATAAAGAATGAAGGAGTGAAAAATTACTCATTCAATTGAAGAAACAAGAGTTTTCAATTTCCATTATCTTCATTGTCTTCAAAATATTGAGCACATCAAGAGTTCTCCAAGAAAATGAAAGACTAAGCTAACTAAAAAAGCTAGAGAAAAATGTTCAAGAAGAAAACTAAGTCTTGACTCCTATATTTCTAGTTGTTTCTTGTTGCCAGAGAATCAAGAAAAAGCAGTCTTTGAACTCCCAAAATGCTGCTGCAACATCCCCTCAAATGTCCCTAAAAAAGTGTGAAAATGATGTAAGTGAAAGGTGTTAGGACCGGAGCCGTGATCGGTTCGCGATCTAATCGGTTGAACCGGCCAATTCAACTCAGGTTTCAAAACACTACCTATTAGTGCTCTACGCTACTAACACGTTTTCATTTCAACTTGACGTTATGTGTCATGTTTCACATGGACAAAACATGTTGTCGCTACATTTACATATAATTCTTTGAATTATGCTCCTCCGAAATGTTTGTCTCTTTTTTTTTCCCGAAAACGTTAACTTTTCATTGATGATGTTTAAGATCTATACACTTAGTGAGCAAAAAGCTCTCAAAGAGCTATACAAGTGCATTGAAGCACTGAGAGTTGATCCACTCCTCATCAAAAGGTATGCTTAGAGCATAGTTGCTTATATGACTAATTGTATCACTATTTTCATTGGTAGACAGAATAAATGAGCATTCCACAAACATAGAGCTTAAACTACTAATGTCTTCCAGATGAGAAAACAAGCTCACACCCTTGGCCCTGTTGCTTCCCTTGGCCCTATTGCTTTTGATCATCTTCAGCAAGTGTTGCTGTGGAACTCGAATTTGGATTTTAGCCCATTGACATTCACTAGCTTTGCATAAGGCAAGTTTTAGTGCCATCAGTTGGTCTTCAAGTGTGTTCCCTGAGCTATACTCTTGCATGGCCCATTGAGCTACCACTTGTCTGTCATAATGTTCTGCCACGATGCCAAGTCCCAGCTTCTTGGTTCCCACTTGTTGTTTAATCGCTAAATTGATATATATTCTATCATGTCCACCTCCTTCCCCTTGCTGGATCATCTCTACTCTTATTGTTTCTGGTATGCTCATCTCTCTTTCCTTCTCTTTAGCTTTATTGTATTCCATCCATTCCTTGTGAGCTTTCTCTATGGTCTTCAATGGATATCATTGAATTGAAGACCCTATCATTTCTAGCCTTCCACAGTTGCCACAGAATATTTACTATGAGTGCTATATGATCCATCCCTGCTTACCTGTACCTTGCTTCAATCAAAACGCTCCACCATCTACTGAAGTTTCCCGTATATTCCTCCAATCCATCCCATTGAAGTGGTGACAGTCGCCACACTTCCTTAGCTAACCTACAATGGAAGAATAGGTGTTCCACTGTTTCTATGTCTTCCCCACATCTCTTGCAAATCAGGTCTCCCATTCTGGTTCTGGTATAGATTTTTTCATTGACAGGTAAAGCCGAGTTCATACATTTCCATATAAACAGCTTCAACTTGAGCTTTACCTTCAACTTCCACAAATGCTTCCATAGCTTTTCCTTCCCCCAGCTTGGCCCTTCTCCTATTACCTCTCTTTGTTGTTGTTGTAAGCTTCTTTGTCTACTGATCTCTTTATATGCAAAAGCAACAGTGTACTGTCCATTTCCACTATATGGCCAAAAGAAATAATCATCCCTATTTGCCAGGCTGATTGGAATCCTTAGCATCTTCTTTGCTTCCTCTTCCTGGAACAGTTTAAAGATAAGCGGCCTTTTCCTTCTGAAATTGTGAATCAGGTCTCCTACTTTTTGGACTACGCATTTCTAAGGTTTCACTGTTATCAATTTTCCTTGTCGATGCTCAGGTATCCATCTGTCCTCCCACACTCTTGTATTTTTGCCATTTCCAATTTTCTTAATAGTTCCCTTTTCCACCATTTCCCTCACCCCTACTAGGCTCTGCCAGATCCATGAAGCATTGTGTGGTACTTTGCATCTGAAAATGGACTGTCTGGGATAGTACCTGGCTTTCAAGACTTTTGCCACCAGTGAGTCATGATCTGTCACTAATTTCCACACTTGTTTCCCAAGCATGGCTCTGTTAAAATTTTGCAAGTCCCTGAACCCCAATCCACCTAGTTCTTTCTCCTGTGTAAGCTTGTGCCATGAGCACCAATGTATTTTCTTCTTCCCATTCTTCTCTCCCCATCAGAAATTTGACATCATTGAGCTCAGCTCCTTGCACAATCTGACTGGTAGTTTGAAACAAGACATAGCATATGCTGGAAGAGCCATTGTCACAGCTTTGAGTAGTACTTCTTTTCCAGCATCACTGAGCAGCTTATTTTGTCATTGTTTCATCCTTCTCTCACAGTTATCTCTAATAAAGCCAAAAATCTGTTGTTTGGTCCTTGTGATCACCATTGGTAATCCAAGTATTTGCCTTGGATACAGCTTGAATATTCTCAAAATGCTGGCAAACCTTCTTCTGAACTGCCTGTGACACATTTTTGCTAAAAAACACTGAGGATTTTCTAGATTTATCATTTGTCCCGAACCCCGCTCATATTTCCTGAGGATCTCTTTCAATTCAGCTGCTTCCTTAGGGTCTGGTTGCTGAAAATCAGAGAATCATCAGCAAAGAACAAGTGTGTTACTAATGGTCCTCTTCTACTTACTCTCATTCCTATTATCCTTTTTTCCTCCTCTGCCTTCTGCAGTAAATTGGTGAATCCTTCTGAGCAGAGTAGAAATAGATAAGAGGATCCCCTTGCCTAATCCCTCTTTCAGGAGTTACAAAACCTTTTAGCTGTCCACTAACATTGAAAGAATATGTTATTATGGAGATGCAGCTCATAATCCAGCTAATCCACCTGTCAGAGAATCCCATCTTTTTCATGATTTCCTGCAAAAACTTCCACTCCACCCTATCATATGCCTTAGACATGTCAAGTTTCAGAGCAAAATACTCATTCTTTCCTTGCTTTTTCTTTTTTAAGTGATGCAGAAACTCATGAGAGATAATGACATTGTCAAGAATTTGTCTACCTGGAACAAAGGCAGCCTGGTTCATGCTAATACAGACATTTAAGACCCTTTTAATCCTATTAGCCAAGATTTTGGAAATGATTTTATAGATGACTTTACAAAGACTAATGTCCCTATAATGCTTCAAACTTGTTGGATTGTCTGTTTTAGGAATAAGGGTGATCACTGTATGGTTCACAGACTTTAGCATAAACCCAGTGTGAAAAAAAGTTTGAATGGTTTTGATAATGTCTTCTTTGATAATGAGCAAAAAATGCTGGAAAAAAAGGGGACTCATGCCATCCATACCTGGGGATTTATTTGGGTTCATGGAAAAAAACAGCATCCCTAATCTCTTTTTCCTCCACCTTTTTGGTCAAGCTATCATTCATCTGCTGAGTAATTGTGTGTGGTATTCCATTTAAAAATCTCCTCCAAATCTTTGACCCTTGAGGATCTATGTTATTAGGACCAATTTTCTAAAACCCCAAGGATTTGCAAAAAGTCTAAGAAAAAAATAAGCAACTCTTCAGATGAGCTTGCAACTACCAACTATTTAAGACATATTTGACTAACCACGCAGTTCATCATTAGATACAGCCAATGTTAGATTATGAGAGTAGTAAAGCAAACAAAAAGGAGATGTGGATTGAAGCAGATTACAAGAGAATGACAGCTGTGAAATAAATCTATCTATCGTACAGAAACATGATAAGACCAAGAGAAGGTCAATCAATACAATAATGTACCATGAATGAGTAAAATCAACAGCACCCTGAAATAAACTCAGTATACTCTTTCAAGACAAAATACAAAAGGTGAAACAGGCAAAAGATGTTTTGAGCTGAAATCTAGAAAAAAAAAATAAAGATTCTATCCAACCTGTTCAGGATTCTGCGATGGCAGAGATTTCCAACTGGTTCAGCAAGTATTAATTCCATCCTTGCAATCGTTTGTCAAGTTATAGAACGTTTCAACCCTTGTCTTTGCCCTGTAAAGGACTTCAGTGTCCACCTCAACTCTCATATATCCATCAAACTCAACTGGGTGCCCACCATTCAAAAGCCTTGAGTCATTGTACCATTCACTCATATTTCCCCACATTTCCTTGTAATCATCAAGCAAATGAACCTTGTAATGAGATCTCAGCTTATCAAAGTAATTGTAAAATGGTTCATTAGTAGCAACATACAAATGCCTCCAAGGCGTAACTGCTGTTTGCAGATTTTGAACAAGCGCCTCCAGAGATGTGTCAGCATCAAGATGAGGCCATAGTTCCTTATTCTGTGCCTTCTCTCCTCGAACCACATGAATTGCATCATAGTCCCAGTCCATGCTCCCACTAATTGCCATAACTATATTCATTAGTCTCTTTGATTTCCAAAGTGCATGCCAGGGCCTCTGGATGTATTTACCTGCTGGACCTTCACAGACCTGATAACCTTAGTTTTCCGGCTCAGGAGCATCAAATTGCCGCCATATAATAGTGCTCTTATCTTTTTTCAACTGCATTGGTGTAACTTTATAATCTGCAACCTTTCTCACAGGGATTTTCTTTTTATGTGTTTTATCCCATCTCTTCCAATCTTTATGGAACTCCTCCTCATCCACAACTGATGCCGTCTCCTTCAAATGCTCAAAATCAAAGTAGAACCAAAAATCTTTTCCCTCCTCATCCCTATGACTCTGAGTGTAAGAGAAGGACAAACAAATACTCAAATCCATCACAAATGTCCTATTCAGATACTGAGCCTCACCTAAAGCGCACAAAAAGCTCCATAGGTAATGATTCATTCCTTTACAATAATCCCCGCCATATGAATAATACAGGTATCTCCCATTTCTAAATGCCAAATCTGATCCTACATCGGAAGCGTATCATTTATTTCATCATCTCTAACAACAGGGGCAGTTTTGTTTCTCAGACCACTTCTAGTGGCATTTGTTCGAATCCTAGTACGGCAGGCATTCAAACCTGAGTGCCAACGCCCTGCATGGATCACCTTATAACTGCAATCATCCTTGAACCCAATCATAAACCTTCTGAAATCCCTATGCTTCCTCCAAGATTTCTCCTTCTTATTTCTAAACCTCCACGCTACATCACACTCATTAGGCGCCGAACCGTTAACAGGATGTTGATAATCTAAAAATGCAAGGGACCTAAAGGCCCTCAAGTTGAACCTCTCTATAGTTATCAACACCCTAGGATCTGAGCAATTTATGACACCTGTATCTTCACAACCAGATTTCAAGCTCACATTTTTAAGATCCGCTTCAGTTCTCTCAATCACATCTTCAGTAATAGATACACTTGCCCCTGCAGGAGCTAATCTTGGAGACTCAGCAATATCCTCACCAGTTTTAAGGACATAAGTATCAGTTTTAAAAGTGGCGTTTTCAACTTGTGTAAAAACCTTAGTGAGGGCTCTGAAGGACTCCCATGGATCAGGGGGCTGGTATGTTATTTCAATTACGGTAACTATGAGAACTGAGAATACAAAAACTGAAAAAACACACATTGCTTATGAATTTTATTAGGTTTTGCCCAATTGGGTCACTTACTGAATTTAATTCCTTCATTGGATCAAAACCCTTTTTCCAAAATGAATCAAATTGAAGTCATAAATCAAAAAAGGCAGCAAAATTCAACAAAAGACTAGATCTTGACAGAAAATAAATAAAGGGTCTGCAAAAACAGAGGAAAGAGGCGACGGAGAAATTAAACAATTAGCTTAACTAACCTCTGATCTGAGAATGATTCTTTACCGCAGACACTGAATTAACAAGAAAAAATGAATCTTGACAATTATAGTGAGCAACAAGACGAATAATTTTGCAGAATGCAGAAAGAGAGGAACTGAGGAAGGGAGGGAGAAAGGGCAAGGTTTTCTGTTAATCTGATATTTCAAGCTCTTTTTCTTTTTTTTGGAGATTTGAGTAACATGAAGGAAAGGACTGGGAACTTGAAGTTGAGAGTGAGCTTTGTGATGGGTACTGAGAGAGGAGGAGATGTGAAGGAAAACAGAGGAAGCTAGATTGAGGTATGATTAGCACTAATCAGGAACTAAACTTCCAGAATTGTTGGTGTGAAGATGGGATCTTGAAAATTAAATTAACGATAACCTTCTCTGATCTACCCCAGAGAATACTTCAAAAAGCGTTTATGGCAGTGGGACCTTTCCTTCAGTAAAGAGTAAGTAACTAGGAAAAGTGTAGAACTGTCGGACATGGGTGTCAAAACTAGTGGAGGGGAGAGATCTTAGGTTGCTTCTACGGTGGAAAGTAGGTTGACCTGCCCCACCGTAAGCAGAAAGAGTGCTAGAAGGACAGCTCAGCACAAGCATCTCGATCCATGTTTTTGGGGCCCAGTTGAGAGAAGATGACCAGCAAAGCCTATTATCATTTGAAGGAATTAAGAGCAAATAATACTAATATAAATTGGGTTGGGTGGTTAAATAAATTAGTGAAACTATAGATGCTATACTGGAATAACAATAAGAGCCAAGTTTGTCCTTTTTGAATTTGTTATCATCATAGGCGGAGGAAACATAAGGTGGATAAAAAAATTTCACATTAAATTAAATTGCTTTTTAAACTAAGCAACTAATTTTTATTTAAATTGTAATTGTTTTTTAACATAATTGGGTTTCACCTTTTTACTTTATCATCAATTGCATTTTTTGCTTGCTTGTTTCAATGGATTTGCTATCATTAGATAATCCTATCACAACAAAATCTTTTAATTCAGCACTTACTTTTAAGTATAAATTTTGATTTTTACTATGATTTGATTATCCTTATCATTAGATCATTTTAATATTTAAAAATTCTCAAATTTTGACACTAATTTACTGGTCAAATTTGTGATTTATAGTTTGTCATGTCCAGTACAACTAGTTGCAGAGTTAGAATTTAAATTCATAACCATCTAGTCATTTCAATAGTTCAAACGTTCAATCTTTGAAACTTTTGTATTATGTGATTTATGTTTATGATTATTTTATTTACAATCTCAATTCTAGTTTCTTGGTGTATTATGTTAATTATATTTTATGATTACTTATCTACAAATTTGATATCGATTTGAAAGTCACCATGTTACGTATAAGATTACTTATCTAATTTTAAATTAAAATTAAAATCTACCAGGTCAATTATGTCACGATTCTGGTTATTTGTAACACTGTATTAATTATGTTTCTAATTATTCATCTACAATTTTGATTCCAATTAAAAAATCACTATCTATGAGGACTTAGTTAGAGGAATCGCTGTTAGTATAAACTTTTTAATATCATTTTCTAAACTTTCAATTTTATCCTTAGGGAAAAACTTTTAATTTTTGCTCTAATTGTTTAATCACATTTTGCCAATATAACTACCCTAAGTATTGTAATTACCAAATTACTATAACCTTATGAACCAAAATTCTTCAATAAATTATTGTGAAAAATAAAATTTTTATAAAATTAATTCCTTTTAATTATTTATGTATATAAGTACTCATCTATGCGAACTAATAATTAAATTTAATCCTTAAGATTGGAGTACACATATATACATTTATGGGCTTTTAACTTACCAAAATTGCCCTTCAAATTTTGTCCTTCACCAATTTGGCCTGGGAGCTGCTCCCTTATGTATATAATTACTCATATACGCGAACTAACAATTAAATTTAATCCTTGAGATTGGAGTACACATAAATACATTTATGGGCTTTTAACTTACCAAAATTGCCCTTCAAAATTTGTCCTTCGCCAGTTTGGCCTGGGAGCTGCTCCCAGCTGATGTCGATTTTTGGGTGCAAACAAGTGTCCATAAGTTGTTGAGGGGCTTGCTTTTTATTTCTCGTTGAAATAGAAGGGAACCACATAATCAACCGCTTCTACTCGGTGTCCAGTAGTTCATTTATTTTCTTTTTTTTTCCCCTTCTCTTTCTTTCTTCTTATTTTGAAAATTAAGGAACGTTTTCAATTGTTGTGTAAATGATTTCTCATGTTAATACACAAATCCATTTGAACTCTTGTAATATTTCATCAA